ACACTGCCTCTCTCTGTGCATGTCAAGCAACATGAATGGTGAACTGATCACGGAGATTTCAAGACAAGACCATGAGCAATAACCATGAAAATTGACAACAAGTCTGCTATTAACCTTGCCAAGGATATAATAGTAGATGGGAGAAGCAAACGAGTCGAGATGAGGTTTCATTAACTTCGAGAGAAAATAGCAAATGGGAAGCTGAACTTGGCATACTGCAGAACTGAGAATCAGATTGCAGGCATCATGGCGAAGGTTGTGCAAGTTGAATTGCTTAAGAGATTAAGAACAATGATGAATGTAGATAACTTAAACACAATGAATTAAGTGGTGTATTAAATATGTAATTTCTTCTGTTAAACATGTTGTAAGATTTTCGACAGATTTGAAGTCGATTATATTCAATAGTAGTTGAAATAGATAGCTGCTGAAGGAGTTAACCTCAATAGAGTTAAACTTAACATTTATCTTTTTTTGTTATTTAGTTAGTGAGAGATTACTTGGTGTACAAGTAATCTCATATACAAATAGGGAGGTACTCTATCATTATAAGAGTACAAAAGAGGAGAAATTCAGTGAGAATAAACACAGAGAGAAACTCTGTAGAATTTAACCCATCTTCTTTCCCTTTCTTCCAAAGCCCTAATTTCTCTTTTCTTCTCTAATTCACTTTTCAAATCATTATGCGACAAAACCATATTGCAATCAAGGTGTTGTTGAATCACTTGAGTGAAAAATGAGAAACGGGAGAAATGATCAATCATAAAAATTGATTCTTACTCATCAAGATTGATTAAGATTATTTTCAAAATTGAGATAAATTTCAACAAGATTAAGATAAGTAAGAAAAAAGGTATTAAACCATAAATTATTAAATAAAAAGAAAATTGCTTTATGTTACTAAACAAAAATTATACGAATGACATGACAATCATTTTAACCTCTTTTTATGTCATCGCCACTCATGAATTCCACAAAATTTGAAAGATCAATTTATTCAAAGATTAAACACGTCATTGTTCGTGAAGTATACGAAGAAAATCCATCGTACTAAATAACATTGTTGATATAAAAAAAGGATTTCTTATAACACCCTATATATTTCTACCGCACCATGTAAAATTCCACATATGCCCCCTGATTCCAGAGATATATCTCAGTACGCATCCAAAGTTTAGTGAACGTTGAAACATTATAGAGATATATCTCCAGAATAATTTGGAGCATAAGTCGCGCCAAACTCTTTTCTTGCCTCATTTCACAGTTTGTTCACACACACAACCTCAAACTCTTCTTAATACACTTCAACTTCAAAACATCAAATTTCATCAAATAAGGCTCAAAGTAACATCAAACATTATCAATAACATCATTCAACATCATCAAAACCATAAATTTCAGGTAAATTTTTTAGTTTTCAGATAAATTTTGAGTTTTAGTGTAAATGTGTAGAAATTAATGATTAGGGTTATAAATGTGTAGGAATCACATGTAACATAATTTAGATTTAGTGTAAGACTTGTTTATTGGCTCAAAACAGCGATCAAATACATTTTTTCCAACTTGCATGAGACACATTACGCCATTGTCGCGACCTCTGAGTTGCAGAACTTTTCGAAGATACATCTCTGGAATAATTCAGCGTTTCATATACTTTGGTAATTTTCAGAGATGCATCTCCGGAACTCTTCAAAGTTAATAATTTCATGGTGTTTCTGGAAATGCATTTTCTGAATTGTTCAACGTTATTTTTTTATGGTGTTTCCGGAGATGCATCTCAGGAGTTTCCTGCAATCTGTTTTTTTTTAATTTTAATTTTCTTGTTTGTTTGTTTTGCTTATGCGCACTAATGATATGTCATACTTTACCTTATAAGAATAATGTCTGACAGAGTCAGCAGACTGAGACATGGTAGGGTAGCGCAACATGCATCCGTTCGGCGGAAGCGGAGGCAACAAGTTTCGGAAGCAACAGGTACCTCTAGTCTAGGGCGTCGTCTACTTATAGGGATCGTGCTTCACCTTAGACCACTACATCTCAGGCCACTTTACATTCTTCTTCTTCCCGTAGGAAACAAGATTCATCATCTGATGCGTCACTTCCCTCATCCTCTCAAAAGCATCAAGATTCACCAGTGCCACCTCCTACGGATCCAGTGCCACCTCCCACTGATGATCTTGTTGATCCAGTGCCACCTCTGAAGGGTGAGGTTGTTGCGGATGCCGAGCCAGAGGGTTTTAGAGGAGGTCCATCTAATTTATCCTTACTTCCTCTATATCCATACCATACTGTCAGACATATTTGGTACGAAGATGTAACATTAGTTGAATCTTTGGTTTATTTTTTACATTAAACTTAATTGTTGACATTGATTATTTTTGGAAAATTTCAAGTGCGTGATCCCTAGAAGTTTCTTAATCATGGGAGGAAGATTGTTGGCTTGCCTCAACCAGAGGAGGATTGTTTTTAGTATGTTATGTTATTATCTAGCTTGAAGGACATATGCATGAACGGTTACACTCTGGTCAACCACGAGATGCTTAATACATTTGTGGAAACATAACATTCTGAAACCTCTTTCTTTCATCTCCCGCATGGTGAGATGTCTATCACATTGGAAGATGTCTCGTGTTTATTACATATTTCGATCAGAGGGTGATTCCTCAATCATGGTAGGATGACCAAAGACGAGGCAGTCAAGATGATGGTAGAGCATCTGGATTCTGGGGCTGATCCAAGGAAGGCGATTGAGGAGGTGGATAGGATCAGGGTTTCTCATGCTAGATTTAAGTTCCTGAAGGAGATATATGACAATGAGATCCTTGCTGCAAATGAGGCTCATGGTGATGCTGAGAAGGTGTCGGTACACAGGGCTTATGCTCTGAGGGCATATTTTTTTTTGGTTGACACTTGTATTTTTATGGACACGAGTGCCACTTATACTAACGTTACATACTTCTGGTACTTCTTGGATCTACAGTAGATCCATGACTACAACTAGGGGACGACTTTTCTGGCCTATCTATATTTAAAGTTGAGAGATGGATGTCGGTGGAAGATGAAGCAGGTCACAGGAAGTGTGACACTACTGGTGGTAATATTTCTTGATCCTTGAATGTTTTTTTTTGTCATTTTCATTTCATATTTGTGAAACTATTGCCGATAATCCTTGATCCTTGAATGTTTTTTTTTAATTTTCATTTCAGGCTTGGATTTTCTAGCACTTTCCGCGCAACGCTGGCTGGACGAGTATGGACGAGTGCACTAAGGACATGCCTCATGCCTGTGCTTTTATCCCGCTCAGAGGGAACCAAGCGGTCGAGCGTTTTAGAGTCTACCTTGACCGTTTGGTTGCTAAATACATGCACTTTAACAGCTATGTGGATCACCGTCCGATGCGACCATTTGACGAGATATCGCTATACTCGGAATGGTTGGCCTGCGGATCGCGTATCATTGCTCTTCACCTTCCCGAGCGCGTCAGACAGCAATTCAGGTACACCTAGACCATCCCTAGACACCATGCTGTCTCTGTTTCTCCTGCCTTGACTCGTAGACAAATAGAGAAGATGTTTGCCGATGATGAGAGTCATCTGGTTCTGGAGGAGGCACAGGCTACCATAGCGCCAAACTATTGGAGCTCGTCGACAAATACGTCTGATGATTTCTTCAGGGTGTCACATCCATACACGGTGCAGACTGCTTAAGAAGATCCCCTGAGACCATCTCATCAGAAGATACTAGAGGAGGAATATACTCAATTAGATCATACTGATGTTGTCTTGCCTCGGTGTCGTCGCATAGTGAAAATTGCACATGCAGACATTGAGGAGGGTATCTTCTCTAAAGGGTCTTCTATCAGGCGAGTCCTGAATGCCGTGGTGGTAGAGGTACATCCGACACTGTTGTATCAGAGACATCGCCGGAGGACGAAGAAGATTGATGGCTAAGGAGGCTGAGTAGACAGATGAAGTAGAGGAGATGTAGTCAGACACACCCAGTAGTAATTTGTTACTATTTTATTGTATTACTATACTCTCTACTTTATTTTTACGATTTTATCACATTTTGAATCTCGATTGTACGATATTTTCTACATATATTGTTATATTTCATCAAATACTAGCCTCTTATTATTTTATACGTCTAGTTTTTTATTTTATTTTGGATGTGTTATACTTCATCTGAAAACAAATACACAACTTATAGTCAAAAACATCTATTCTGATACACTTCGGAGATGTATCTCAGAAAAATCATCGGATATGCATCTTTGAAACAATTCAAATGTAAATGGTTTCTATGTGACATGTTTTGAATATTTAAAATGGTTCAGGAGATACATTTTTGAAATATGTCAATGTTTATTCAAAAATAAATGCATTCAATGATATATCTCCAAAATCAAAAGACATATCTAAAAATTCACATAGTACATAAAAAACATCTAGGATGCAATAAGAAATCCCCTTTAAATTTTTTTACTATAATTTGTCAAGATGTTTCATGATACGTATCATTGATTTGTCACGTGACATTCCACACGAGTTTGGTTTGAAAAACCAGTCAATACTATAACCTTACACGCACGCACGCACTCCTCCGTCTAGGGAAAGAGCTGCTCTCTTTATTTTCTACCTTCTGTTTGATCGGTTTTCAATTTTTCCGACGACCCTTTTCATCATTCACCAAGTAAGCCCCTTCTAACTTTTCTCTCCCGTTTAATCTTTCCATTTTTATACCTTTCTCTTTAACTCTTCACTTCAATGCTAACTTCATATCCTCTGCAACAAAAATTGGTCAAATTATTACATTTTTAATGACCCAGATATTGATTCACTCATATAATCTCATTCCCGTGCTGTTTCACCAATAAAGTTGTGATTTTTACTCAATTTCCCACACCTTTGTAAGTTTGTACTTACATTGAGTTTTTTGTGATTTTGTGTGCGTTAGGTTTTGGTAAATTAGACTGTTTTTGATTGAAGCGATTGTTTGCTATGGATAATCTTCCTGTTGAAGTGATTGGTATCATATTATCCCGTGTTGGGTCTGCTAGGGATGTTGTGATTGCATCCCTAACTTGCAAAAAATGGACTGAAGCTTGGCACAATCACCTCCACACTCTTTCATTCAATACATCTGATTGGCCTCTATATAGTGAAGTTTGCTCTAGTCACTTGGAAATGGTCATCACCTGTACACTTTTTCAAACTAAAGGCTTGCAGCGTTTAACTATTTTAATGGATGATGAGCATGAGTTTATTGTTACTCCTGTCATTGCTTGGCTTATGTATACGAGGGATTCGTTGCGCGAGCTGTGTTATAATGTGAGAACATCTGCTAATTTCAATTTCAATATAATCGAGAAATGTAGCACGCAGAGATTGGAGGTTTTGTCGTTGGCTCGTAATCCTATCCCGAGGGTTGAACGGTATCATAAGTTTCCTTGTTTGATGTCGTTGTCGTTGAGTTTTGTTAGTATATCGGCGTTGGATTTGAGTCTTCTGGTTTCTGCTTGTCCGATGCTTGAAACTTTTTCTATAGTTGAGCTGGTAATCACTATGTCAGATTCAGAGGCTTCCTTAGAGATTAGTAGCTCTTCTTTGAAGAGTATTTTTGTTGACTCATTTGGTTTCGATAAATTTATACTGGAGGCGGGTTCGCTCGAGAAACTGCATCTTAAAGATTGTACCTTTGATACTTTTGTATTGGTTGGGAAGGGAAAATTGAAAGTCTTGAAGATTGATGATGTGAGTGTGATCGATCTTGACATTGGGGATAGTACCGAGAATCTCGAGGTTGTAGATGTGTGTGACTTCACAATTATGTGGCCAAAATTCTATCAGATGATCGCGAGGGCATCGAGGTTAAATAGTCTCAGGCTGTGGGATGTGATTTTCGCCGACGAGGATGAGGTTGTTGATATAGAGAACATTTCTGTTTGCTTTCCTAGACTGACTCAACTTTCCTTGAGCTATGATTTGAAAGATGGAGTGCTTCATTATGGCTTGCAGGGTTTGTCTTTTCTGATGAATGTGACTGTGTTGGAACTTGGATGGACTACAATCAGCGATCTTTTCTCAGTTTGGGTGGCTGGACTATTGGAAGGATGTCCCAATCTAGAAAAGTTGGTTATTTATGGTTATGTTACTGAGGTTAAAACAATTGAAGAGTGTCAAACTTTTGCTAGATTTTCTGAATTCATGCTTCAACTAGGAAAGAAATATAGTCATGTAAAGTTTGAGTTTGAATATGAGTAGTAGGTTTTGCCACACTCATTCACCAGGAAGAACATGAAGGTACTTCCATGTCCCATGACTTTATTGTAAAGTTACAGTTTTTTTTTTTTGTTTTTTTATAGTTTTTATGCCCAACACAGACATGTCTAGTCTTTCAGAGGTGTCCATAGCTGGTGTAATATATTGCAACTTTAAACAAAAACAGTTCATACATAACAAGTTAACTTCAAACATTAACAACTATATTGTACAAATCTGAGTAACTAGTTATACATCAGTTGAAAAGAGTCATCCAAATTAGATGATTCAATCCTTGCAGACAGTTGAAAATTTGTTATCTGACAAACTTTACATCACCATTCCTTTGTCTCTTTTATTTTCTAAGAAGTTTTAACTTTTAGTATTCTTCTTCTTCTTGGTTCTTGATCTGCATCATATGCACTTTTCGCAGTTAAACTACACAAGAAAATGCCCTCATGCAACATGTGATGATTTCTTCACAGATGACAACTTGTGTTCCTTCTTAAGCCTCTCAGTTTCTCTCTTGCTTTCTGAGCTTTGGTTTGAGCCGTCACGTTTGTTTCCTCTAAACACTGCACCAGGTAGTCGCAAAATAGAAATTTAGATGCAATTTCAAGTCGATAATTTTTAGTTTAGATTATCAATTGTTACCTGCTGTCTTCTTCTCGCCTCGAGTTCGGCCTGAAGAATAAAAGAATCATGATCCTTGTCAGTATAATTGAATCACTAAAGAAAAACTATCAACCTTTCTGCAAATGTGTTTATGTTGTTTGGCAGTACCAGTGCTTGTTTCAGTTGAGAATTCTCTTCTCTTAACTGGTTCAGTTCCGCTTCTAATTCAACTGTGTATGCCTAACAAGTTAAGAAAGAAAAAAAAGTTTCACAAACGAATTTAATTGACAATAATCCTATAGGATAATTGCTTAAATCTTCAGGTACCTGTTTTCTGGCTCTAGATCTTGCTGCTGACTCTCTATTCTTGATCATCCTTCTCTGCCTTCTCTCCACTACCCTTTCAACAGGACCATCACCCATCCTCTTTCTTCCTCTTAAACCACTCATGTCAAGTCCAAATTGACCACCCGAGTTTTCGTTACCAATCCCGTCGGACGAAACCGGACTAACTGGTCCGCCCATTCCCATAGTTTGTGCCACTGGCACTCCATAACCGCCTACTCCTCCGCTCACCACCCTCCCTCCAAAGCAAACGGCAGGTGGTGCTGGATACCCGGTACCTATATTATCCCTTTTACCATTCCCAGGATACCCCGAACCCGAAGGCTCTCCAACCGCCCCACCTCCCGGAGCCACCGCTTGGTAAGTTGGTACAACCACATTCCCACCGCCTCCGCCAATAGCGAAAGGAGCAGCCTGAGCCATTGTGGCGGTGTTATTCGGATACACAGCAGTGTAATGCTGCTGCGGCCGGTGAGATGCAACTGCAGGAGGCGCCATTGCAACCTGTTCCCTAACCACACCTGCTTTCACCAAGAAATCCTCCAATGTCATTTCTCCAAAAGTCGGTTGTCGAGGGGTAGACTCGGTATTATGAGCAACATTGTTATTGGGATGGAGTTGTTGCTGTTGCTGCTGTTCTCTGTGTATCTCAGACCAAACCTGTTCTACAGTCTTCCTGCAAAGAGGTGCAGGAATCGACAACGAATTTTGCCGAGGAAGACTCGCCTGTTTACTAATCCCCTTCTGAATCACAGACAAGTTGTTATTATTATTGGAACCAGCTTGTTGTTGATTCTCTTCTGCATTCCAGATACTACTCAGAAACTCATCCATATTCATGGAACCGAAATTCTTGCCACTCTCACATAAACTATGCTGGAACTCATCCAGCGTGAGCGAGTATATCGACGATGACTGCCTTCCGAGCGACGAAAACATAACATTATTAACATTGTTTCTAATTGCTTCTTCCTCCTCCCTCTGCAACGATTCAACCTCCCCTTGTTGCCAATTCATCTCTCCCTCCCTTACCATCATTTTCCTCTGCTGTGTTGTGTTCAGCACTGCATATTAATAAAACAACAATGGAAAAACATTGTTAAACGACAAAAAAGTCAACATAAGCTTTTTATTTCTTGTTTGATTTAATAAAAGAAAAACAACAAAGAACCTTAACAAATGTTAGATTCCTTTGTCAACTTGCGAAAAAGTGGAATACTCCAAGACAATAATACTATAATACAACCACTTTGCTTCTGTCATGTATTTGAATAAGGACTTTTATCATGTTCCAACTCTTGATTTATTATACATTAATAGGATCAAAAGTTGTTGAATGCTATTAAATATTGTTGACATTGTATAACTTTTAATTTATTTTATGACAATGAATTATTCTTTTTACAATTAAAAATAAGTTGAATTCCAAATATTTAGTTATAAATTTGTAGAATTATTTTGATATTTTCAATATACTAGTTTGGTGAATAAGTTAAGGGTTGGTGAGGTGGGGCTGAACCTATGTCACACTCAATTCATTTTTCTCTTCTATTATGGATGCAAAAAGATGCCCTTAATTCTAATATTTCTTTTTTTCATTTTTTTATACATTATTTAAGGGAAAAAAAATTGAAAATCCAATTAAAACAATCATTTATAGAGTTATTTTATAATAACTTGAGTTTTATCCTAGAGAAAAAAAAATCTTTATTCACATGCATTGATAAAACAAGACTTTTCTTCTTTTTCCTAAATTAAGTAGTGAGGAATATTTGGTGGGTAGAAAAGGTTGAGTGTTTAGTAACTCGGTGGCCAAACACAGGAAGAGATAAAACAAACTAATTTAAATCTATAATTCAACCATGAAAATAGCAACTTAGAAACTAGAAACTAGAAAGTTATGCCCAAATTAACACAAACTATAACAAACTATAGAGAAATAAAAAGTACCTGGAAATGTAAGAAGGTAGCTACTAATAACTTCTTTTTCCAGCAATGTCAAAAGTTTTAAACCTTACTCAAGATATAGAAATTGAGTCTGAAAATAGTGAGAGCAAAGAGTGTCCTAAAAAATATATATAGAAACCAAAAGATCAACATACACAAGGATGAAAATTTAGTAACTATCTTAAGGTATACCCCACAAAACAAGACCTTAAAATGAATATTTAGAAAGAAGGAACAGTGAAAGAACGCAATAGACAGAAGAAAATTCAGAGGGCAAGTTCCTATGTTCGATCACATTGTGTGCCACGTAAAGGCCAAGTGTCGACTATGCAGCTTCAAACATGTCTTTAACTCAACACGTATCATGTTCCTATTTTTATATTCCAAAATTTTCAATAATATTGTTTACACTCTATTTTTTTTAATAGAAAGTATTAAGTCGTTTAAAATTTATTTGTATCGTTAATTCTAAGTAATGATGTGTATATATTATGTAAATAAAACAAATAGCACACATTTCAAAACACTCTAGGTTAAATATGACATGCTAGATTAAAAGTTACATGAATTGTTCTTACAAAATATGGATATTAGATTACGTTGTTCTATGTTTTGATTTTAAATTTTAGATTTTTTTTAATACAAGTGTTTATGTAGTTGGAAGTAAGAGTGTGATGAAAGAGATTATTTTAACGTTTAGATATTTAAATCAATTCTTTTAGTTATTTTTTAAATTGTCATTATTGCATAGGTTTGTCACTCATAATTTATAAACCATTTCATCCTATTACTTGAAGTATTAATCTCGTATGTCTATCCAATATATTTGTATTAAAATAGCCTATATTGTAGCATTAAAAGTTTATATATATATATATATATATATATATATATATATATATATATATATATATATATATATATATATATATATATATATATATATATATATATATATTGTTCTTTCCTATATTTTTAATCTTATCTTATTTTTTCATTATTATCAAAAAAACTATAATAAAAAAAGAGAATAAATTAATGAGAAAAATAGAGACGGTACGAGTGTTGAGAAAAATGAGCAGAAGTAAGACACAATCACAATATACAAATATGATACGAAAATTTCAAAATCAAGCAAAAATGTCAGTGTCATTATCAAATGACTATAAAAAAATAATATTATGTGAAAATTTAACATATAATTTATTTTTAATCATCAAAAAATTTCAAAGTAAATATTTAACTATGTTTCACAACAATATAACATAATTGTTAAGAGAAAATAAAAGTCAAATTTAATCTTAAAATTTTGACTGATGCATTTTGTAACAATGATTTGAATCTTTTATATAGTCTAAAACTTTTTATTGTTTTATAAAATCAAATAATATGAGACTTCTTCAACATGTATATTACAACCAAAACCAATAATCTCAACATTGATTAAAAATAATACATCAATTTTTATTATTTTCACTGACAATCATAATTCTTTTGAACTATCATACTTTACCATAAAAAGTAAATTCACCTGACATTATATCATTCCAAGAATTATCAAATTGTCTTTACCGACAATATAGTTCAAAAACTATCATATTCTAATAGAAGAAGTGTATTGTTCACTTGAAGTTAAACCATTACAAAAATTTCAACATGTCAACAATTATGTTGAAAACTTATGGTGCAACTTCCATGTTGGTAAGAAGCTCTTCAACCACCAATATATTTTCATAGTACGCCTCACATTAGTGTCATTCAATGGTCATGTAATAACCACTAGCTAATAACTTGTGTAATCCTGATTGTATCAACACGTATTTGACTTGAACTTTCCACAAATTAAAAACAATTATTCCTTCAATTTTCTCTAGCCTAAACTTCAGAGCAAAACTTGTGAGTGCAACTCAAGAACACTTTTACAACACTACCCTTATTTTATAATGTGGAAGATATTAGAATATTAATAGTAATTCATATTTATTTAGTTGTACTATTTTCTTAGCCCCTAAGTTTGTAAGAGGGTATTTTAGTATTTTATCTTATTCTAGTAACCCTAGTTTTAGCTTATAAATAGGGTGACAATCATTGTAACTTTTATCATGTTTTTGTAGCCGTCATTCTTAATAGAATATTTTCTTTGTTCATCATTTATTCACCTTTGCACCAACAATTGGTATCTAGAGCTCCGGTTCAGATTCATTGGGAAACACGGGAAACACGAGTGAACGTGAGGTCTTGTGTATTTGATTTTGATTCTTAGATTCGTGTTGAATCTTGAACAAAATCTGATCAGAATTTTATTCTGTGGGTTGGGAAACACTGTGTGAGAAACACTGAGTGTATTGTGCAAGGTGAAGATGAACGGAAACGGCAACATGAACACCAAGCTTCCAGTATTTGACGGTAAAAACTGGAATCGTTGGATGATCCAAATGCGTGTACTGTTTGGTGCTCAAGATGTTTTAGATCTTGTCACTGATGGTTATGTTCCGGTAGCAGCAGATGCAACAGATGAACAGAAAAACGCGCAGAAGAAAGTAAGGAAGAAGGATAAGAAAGCATTATTCTTTATTCATCAATGTGTTGATGTAAATGTGTTTGAGAAGATTGCAGATTCAACGACAGCAAAGGCTGCGTGGGACACACTGGTTAGATGTTATGGTGGTGACGCATCAGTGAAGAAGGTGAAACTTCAGTCCTTGAGAAAGCAATATGAGAATCTCAACATGAAGAATAATGAGAAAGTTTCTGAATACATCTTCGAGTGATTCTGATCACTAATGAGATGAAGGCGTGTGGAGAAACTCTTTCTGAAGAAACAATCATGGAGAAGGTATTGAGATCCCTTACCTCTCAATTTGATTACATTGTGGTAGCAATAGAATATTCCAAAGATCTGAGTACCATGAGAATTGAAGAGCTGCAAAGCAGTTTAGAAGCGCAAGAGTTGCGTTTGACTGAGAGAACTTCTGAAAGGGAAGTAGAGCAGCAGGCTCTGAAAGCAACTTCTGATAGGAGGTATCAGAAGTAGTCAGAAGCCAAGAGAAGATCTGATGGTGGTCAGAAGTCAGAAAGCTCAACCTCTGATAGACAAAAGAATGCTCAGAAGGGAAAAGATAAGTATGACAAGAAGAAGATCCAATGTTACTGTTGTAAGAAGTTTGGTCACTTTGCTAGAGATTGTTGGTCAAACAAGGAGAAGAAATCAGAAGAAGCAAATATAGCCAGAAGTTCTGATGACGAATCTGTGTTATTGATGGCCTATGAATCTGATGATCTGACAGACTGGTGGTATATGGACACTGGCTGTTCAAATCATCTTACTGGAAACAAGAAATGGCTGGTTGACTTTGACTCTGAAAAGAGGACAAAGATCAGATGTGCTGATGACAAATATCTTAATGCAGAAGGTATGGGAAATGTCAGAGTGACTCTGAACAATGGGAAAACAACATTGATTCAGAACGTGTGGTATGTACCTGACATCAGAAGCAATCTGATGAGTGTGGGACAATTAATTGAGAAAGGTTTTTCAGTTACCATGAAGGACAATCTTCTGAAGCTGTATGACTGCAATCAGAAGTTGATTATGGAGTCAGAACAGGGAAGGAATAGAACATTCAAGGTGAATGTCAGAACTGCAGACTCAGAATGTCTTAGTGCAACATGTGCTGAGAAGGAGAGTGAGCTGTGGCACAGAAGATTTGGTCATTTGAATTTCAGAAGCCTAAAACATCTGAATTCAAAGAAGCTGGTACATGGAATTCCTGCAATTAAGAAGCCTGAAAAGTCATGCAAAGTTTGCATGGAAGGAAAACAACCACGTTTGCCATTTGCGTCAGAAGTTGCTCCAAGAGCAAAACATGCCTTGGGAGTTGTACATTCTGATGTGTGTGGTCCATTTCCAGTAGCATCAATTGGAGGGAATAAGTATTTTGTGTTGTTTGTTGATGAATTCACAAGAATGACATGGGTATCCCTTATTAAATTTAAACATGAGGTGTTTGATGAATTCAAGAAGTTCAGAATGAAGGCTGAGAATCAGAGTGGTCAGAAGTTGAAGATTCTTAGAACTGACGGTGGAGGTG